CACCAGCACCGCCTAGGACACCTAGCGAAGCAATCAAGTACCTCCAGACGCTCTGGGAAGAGCCAGAGGACTTTGCCGCCTTCCTAGAAATCACAGGTTTCTATAACACAATATATAGGCCTCACTAGAGCCTACACTTGTAAGACTTTTCCTGTCTTCCTATTTTCTTTCTTTCTCTTCTCTCTTTCTCTTCTCTCTCTTCTCTCTCCTTCTCTTCTCTTTCCTATGTCCTCTATACTACACACTCCTTAGTAAGCATCAGCTACGACAACTAAAGGCGGATACACACCTACTGCACAATCATTTCAGTGGCGATCAACAGGCGGAACGACCACTACTAGACCACTACAATCATGTAAATAAGAATAGGCATCCTAGGCATAGTACGGCAAGCCATAGGCATAGCCCGTCTACATGCCCCAAGGGAGGCTTTATATATAGACGTTAAATACAACTCACTCACTCACTCCGCGCGAAAGGCAAGATCGTCGAAACGTGTCTGACTGGACGTGCACTGCTAGCGATTCTTCGCATACAGCAGCTTGCAGTAGCGTGCTGAGATGTATAAGAGCCGCACTGCGCGCTGTGGCTGGGGCGGCTCCCACTAATCACCTGGCCTTAAACAGCTCTGATTCCTGGTCGTGCAGCAGCTGTTTCCCAGCCGTGCTCGCCCTCGCTCGGAGCCACGCCCCGGACCTGCTTCACGCATCAGTCTTTTCCCACTCTGCGCATATTCTTGCCATAGTAAGTGCGTCAAAGCTCTTTTTGGAATCACCTGCATCATTGATTTTCACCGCTATGTTAACTGTCATACGGTTGAGTGCGGGTATTGTAGACAGAATAATTAGGAGAGAGTGTATGTGTTTTTTATTGATTGTAGCATCCTAGCTGAGCTTATATGAAGGCCGTCGCACGGCGTTATTAGTAATGAGGTTCCCGACAGCGCTTGGCCTGTGACATTAACTTACTAGACTGCTTTAAAACCCAGGTTCAACTAATGTTATCAGGCTAGGTTGAAAGAACAGAGTGTAGGCCATTGACATTATTACTGCCCTTCGCCTAATTCCGCTAGCCAGCCAGTCAGCGTGAAGAGCGACAACTTCGTATCATGGTGTCGCCCGCCAAGGGCTTGCACACGCGATTGGTAGCATGTTGCCATCAGTGCAAGAGCCTCCTCGTGGCGAGCTTGCGAGTACAACGTGAAGGCGAGATTGTGCATGCTGGTCAGCGTGTTAGGATGCTTGTCGCCAAGCACTCTCTTCATCGTCTGCATCACTTGTACCTCCAGCTCTTCGGCCTCTTTCCATCGCCCTTGGTCATTGTACGTTGACGCCAGGTTGCCCATGCTGGCCAGCGTGTCAGGATGCTTGTCGCCAAATACTCTCTTCCTCGTCTGCATCACTTGCACCTCTAGCTCTTCGGCCTCTTTCCATCGCCCTTGGTTCCTGTACGTCGATGCCAGGTTGCCCATGCTAGTCAGCGTGTTAGGATGCTCGTCGCCAAGCGCTCTCTTCATCGTCTGCATCACTTGCATAAATAGCTCTTCGGCCTCTTTCCATCGCCCTTGGTTCCAGTATGTCGCCGCCAGGTTGGCCATGCTAGTCAACGTGTCAGGATATTTGTCACCGAGCACTCTCTTCATCGTCTGCATCACTTGCACCTGCAGCTCTTCGGCCTCCTTCCACCGCCCTTGATCCCTGTACGTCTCTGCTAGGTTGTTCATGCTGGTCAGCGTAGAACGATGCTCGTCGGTAAGCACTCTCTTCATCGTCTGCATCACTTGCACCTGCAGCTCTTCGGCCTCCTTCCACCGCCCTTGGTTCCTGTACGTCTCCGCTAGGTTGTTCATGCTGGTCAGCGTAGAACGATGCTCGCCGCCAAGCGCTCTCTTTCTCGCCTGCAGCACTTGTACCTCCAGCTCTTCAGCCTCCTTCCATCGCCCTTGGTTCCTGTACGTCGACGCTAGGTTGCCTATGCTAGTCAGCGTGTAAGGATGCTCGTCGCCAAGCGCTCTCTTCCTCGCTTGCAGCACTTGCACATCCAGCTCTTCGGCTTCCTTATACCGTCCGTCACTAAGCAGAGTTATAGCACATCTTGATGCAAGCCGTAATCTTTCTTCGTTGTTATCATCCGTCGCACTATGCGACAGAGCATACTGGGCATGCGGAAGCAGTCGTCTCCACTTACTTCTGTTGCTATGATCGCCGTCTGGAAACACTTGGAGTAGCTGTGTGATCGTGCGTTGAGTCCACTGTAAGAGCCGTCCCTGCACTTGCAGCCGCTTGCGTAGAGCTTGATGGACGAGTCGATGAACATCGAGCGCAGACTCAGCAGGCCGCCTAGCGACGAGCGCATACTTGTCAAGTACCCTGATAGCATCCTCTCTTGCTTGCACCGAGGCTGCCTCTAGAAGGTCGAGCGAGATGTCTTTCCGGTCTAAGCATGCAGCAAGAAACAGATAGTCTGCGGCAAGCGCATTATCGCGACTGATCTCGTATATAGAGAGAAACAATGCAGCAGCCACAGGGTCTTTTACGCCAGAATCTTGTAGTCTACCACTAGACGAGTCACCGCCCTGCTCGATAGCTAGTTCTTTGTGCTCATCCAGCCGTGCTCGATACTCCTGTACCGTCATACCGATAGCTTTCATACAGGCCGCTGCTTGCATGACTGCTAGCGGGAGATACGATAGCTCTCTTAGCACGTGCTCGGCTTCCTGCTGCTCAGTGTTCGCAAGTGGCCTCTCCAAGCGGACTTGCAGCATCCTCAGTGCCGCGTCTCGTGTCAGCTCTCGCAGCGCTATGACATTCTGTGAAGCAAGCGCCTGAGCTGTGTCGATGTTAGTTGTTGTGAAGATAGCAGAACATAGCTTAAACTGTGGCAGATAGTCAGCTAAGTCCGCCGCTTCTGTTGTGGACGAGCCGCCAGATCGTAGAGTGGTGTATTCTGCGTTATCGAAGACCAGTAAACACTGTCGCGCACTCATCTCTTCTATACAGCTTTTTGCAAGCTGCTTCATGTCGACTTGGTCATCGTCCCATCCAGGTATACTGAGCTTCTGCGCAACACTTGTATACGACTGGTAGAGACTGTCCTTGTCGCTCGCATCCATCCAAAAGACCGAGCAGCTTTTATTGTTCTGCCTCGTTCTATGTGCAACCTCGAGCGCGAGCTGCGACTTACCTGTTCCGCCAGGTCCAACAATCGCTAGCGTGGTCGTGGTCTGTTCGTTGGTGAAGAGCTTGGCTTCTAGGTCGGCAAGCTGCGACTCTCGGCCTACAAAGCGGGGGTTTTGTGAGAACGGAATGATCGACGGTGCGTCGCTAGCTCCCTCCAGTTCAGCCTGTAGTCTGCTTCTTGCACTCTCCTCTCCTTCGCCGTACGCGGTGGGCATAGAGACACCAAGAATCCCAAGCAGGCAGTATACAATGTCTTCTTCCTCTTTTGTTCTGCGGTTTTCGACCCATCGCCTTCGCTCAGATGTACTGAACTCGTGTAAAGGACAGTTGCGTAATGCCGCGAGCGGGATGCCGGTGATGTCATGTAGTAGCTGATCAAGCGATACTCTGTCGCCTATGCGATGTCCTTCACACGAGAAGAACTCGACTGATACTGGCGCAATCAGCTCTTGCAGCGTCCATCCCCGCGTGAACCATCCACTTGCACGGAATGACGCCTCCCAGTCGCTGCGTTGGACTAGCTCTGTTGCAGTCGACACCGAGACGTCTGACAAGAAGACATAGCATCGTGTCGCATCCTTGTACCACTGAAACATCGAGTTGATCGCCTTCGAGCGCTCGTTGTTGTTCCACCTGTCGATGCAGCATGTGTCAATCCAGAAGTACTGCAGCTCGTCCTGCGCCGCCCGTTCGGCGCAAAACTGGAGCTTTCGATAGCCTTCTTCCTTCTCCTTATAGGTTCTGTTCGATATGTCTTCAATCAGGATCTCGGAGTCGCTCCATCTGTGCGACAGAATGGCGTAGGGCGGAATCGTTTTGCCGCGGAAATCTGTCAAGACGAGCCTTCCCAACGCGTTAAAGTGGAGAAGCCGCATGGCGTTTGTAATCTTAGCTTAGCCTAGGAAAGGCGAGGCGCGAACGACTTCGATGGTGTCGAGAGTAGAGACATGTAGTCGCGACAGAGCAAAGCAGGCAGAGGAAGCTTGCGCTGGGCTTCTGTGAAGGCTGCCTGTCGAGGCAGTGCATGCGACCAGGTTGAGCGGATGCTGGGCACATCGAGCATCCTGCGCCGCCCCGCCTCACAACTTGCGCTGGACAGCGTTCGCTATGTGAACTCACGTTAGACTACTGCGCACACGGGCAGGGTGCCAGCGGGAAGAGCAGTCCTACTTAGACTGCCATCGTAACGTCTCGCGAGATTCGTGTTAACGAGGAAGGGTGCGCAGCAATGTAGGTTGTGTAGACGTAAAGATACCGTCTTATTGCACGCACTTTTCGCACTATTCCGCAGACGTTCAACGAAAAGTCGATTGCTTTATAGCGAAAGTAGTACGAGCCTAAGCCAAGCGCCCTTTGATGGCAATTTCTACGACAAATAAGCCGCTTTGCGAAGAAATCAATGCATGAGTATGAGGCGCGGCTGCCCGCAGCGCGCGTATACCTTCCAAGCTGCAGTTCCTAGCTACAGCGAGCAAGGTGGGCTCACAGATATTTCAGCACGCTACTGCAAGCTTCTGTCTGCATGCCAAATACTGCTAACAGCGCACGTCCTGAGGGTCGCGTTTTGACGATCTTGCCATCTGCGCGGAGAAACTGCCGGGACCTACCCTTTCTACCCTAAATCGACACTTCGAGGCTGCAGTCTTAATCTTTGCCATCTCGGCTTCTTTTCTAGCCCACCGAGTTCTTTGCAGATATGTATCGTCGCGGATAAACAGGGGGGTATTAGCGGAGAGTCGGGGACAGCATTAACAGAACAAGCGACAGCACGGTTAACAACGCGCTTTTCGGTGTCGGAGACTGATGTGCTAGGAGAACGAGGGCTATAAAGTAGATGCGCATTACGCTTGTCTACATGCAAGTGCGCTGCGGGCAACCCGAGGGCCCGAAAGGAAATGTGTCCCGTTACACCATGCGTCCCGGCACGCTTGGATCGACATTACTTCTATCATTCTATTTCACACGACGTTCACAACACCGGCCTACCTCCTGGATGAGCACCCCGATCACGATGAGTTCCGCCCTTGCTCCGGATCAGCTCCTGAAGTAGACTGCTTTAAGGCTAGTGATAAAGCCAATGCAATACTATCATCATTGTCACTATTATTAATGTTACTGTATCATATGCTTGAGTGAGCTATTACCTACAAACGTCGTTTAACAATAGCCACATGCGCTATTAGTAGACTGCCCTTTGAAGACACTTTCAGCAAGCCCGAATCATTTGGCCCACCGCGATTAGGCAGCTAACAGATTCTCGTCTTGTATAGAAGATTATCTATAGCATTCTGTTATGTAGAGTGACTCGCTACGTAGACATAGACATTAGATATCTTCCTAGAGCGTATAAATGCCATTTAGTTGAGGGACTAAGTACCTAGAAAGCGACCATCTTTCTAGCGCGACGGGTTTTCCAGATAGTAGTAGAGGGGGGATACTATAAGGTCTTTAGGTAACGTCACCCACTGCGAAGCGAGCTGCACGAGATGGTGAGGCACCTTTTTGCTAAAAATGCAACATATCATTCTATCATGATAGCCTTATTCTCAGAATGTCGTAGCCAATCCCTCTAGCATCTACTTGTTCTTATATAAGCTTATGAGCGAAATCGTTACCCCATGGTTGACGGGTACTGTACTGTAGTGCTGAACCCAGTAGTTTCTACTCCCTTGCTATTGTTCTTTGAGGCTGACCAGGGCTATCGGAGGCTTATCGCCCATTTTCTTAAACTTGACCTCGACCATTCCCGACGCTTCGAGAAACTCACGAAGTCGTTCATAGCCGTAATTGCGCGCATTCAAGTCAGGAGATATCTTGATCAGATAACTCCCAACATCAGCCAGATTAGCCCAATTGTCGCCGTGACCTGTGCTCGAGATCGCCAGACGTATTCCAATACGTGCTTTTGAATCGATCGGTCTTTTTTTGGCCAATCAGGCACTACAATCGGTATCCCATATGGCTTTGGTGCCTCAGCGGCATAGGGTGGTTTCTCTGGCTCTCCGAACTCTATGTTCAGCACGTCAAAGTACATAAACTTATCACAGGCTGCAACAAAAGCGTTACTAGTCTTGCGTTCTCCAAAGCCATATACCATGACACCCTGCTCACGAATCCGGGATGCGAGGCGAGTGAAGTCACTATCGCTCGATACGAGGCAGAAGCTTGAAAAGCGGCCAGTGTAAAGTAGGTCCATGGCATCTATGATCATAGCGCCGTCGGTTGCATTCTTCCCTGTCGTATATGCGAATTGTTGAATCGGTGTAATTGAGTGATTTAGAAGACATGATTTCCAGCCTTTAAGCGACGGGCTGGTCCAATCCCCGTAGATCCGCCTGACGCTGGCGGTTCCATAGTTGGCGATTTCGGCCATGAGGCCGGCGATGATCTTTGGCGAGACATTATCGCCGTCGATTAACAAGGCTAGACTCGAGTCGGCAATAGTCATTTCTTAAATTGTCTTTCCGGGAAGTAGCTAGACATAATTTATATGATACAATACTGGGTACAGAAGTGTCTCGGTCAAGTCAAATTAGCTAAGTCGTGATAGAATGAGCAACTCTTACCCCGCACCAGAACGTCATAGGGGTCGCACAAGGCTCGCACAGACGCTGCCGGCTTACATTATGTCGCCAAGGGTGATGTATTACCAGCTTACCATCCATGCTTATCGGGGCTCAAATGGAGGCCACTCGCCGCTTAAACAATGTCAGAGCCTAGCTTCCTCTGACCCCCTCTGGGCCTCTTTATGGCCTCCTTAGTCATGTCTAACTTAGCCTTATAGATAAGCCTAATGAACACTGCCTTGGCTCACTAGCTGTTCGTCTACAGTAAATATAGTCTATTCAACTACCTTTGCTATTGTTGCCCTCACCTCGCGTCTATATTAACTAATCCTACCGCCTGACATATAAAGAATACTATAGATCTAGTATTTCTTAACTATAAGACGTATAGCGTATTTCTATAAAACTTTCTCATATTGTTTGTCACGGTACGGGCTCACGGGCAGAGAGGACAGGCGCGTGTACAGGTTCTATTGCTACAGCTAATCAACAGGCTCTCACTACAGGTAGTATAGAGTAGAAGACAGGACGTAGCTCGAAGAGCTACACTAGTGAAGTTGCGGCGGTTTTGCAGAATCCGGGTGCTCGGACCCTCACCCGGATTCTGTCGGCAGCCAATCAGACGATCGCGCGCCGGCCACTCAGCCAGCGCCGTGACATTGTTACTACAAATAGATCTTAAAAGTAGACGCTATCACATTATAAATATAATTGAAGTTTCAAGTGCTTAACTATAGTTTATTTTATTTTGTTATATATTTCGCTTCGCGGCAGGTGACGTCATATATTCTTCTCGTGTCGGTTCTATCCAAGGCCTTAACGCTTCTTGCTTGAATTTATAGGCGACGCTTTCTGAAGCCTATTGTCCAGTTCAAATGCGGAGACTTGTGCGGTCTGGCTAACTAGGCTCGCTGAAGGGCGGGATGGTAAGCTGATAGTGGTATAAACTTGATTCGAATAGGATGACCAAATCTAGACATCTGTAAGATAAATTTAACAAGAGTGTCTCGGCGCTGAGTAAATAACATTAGGATCTATGCACATTGATCACAATCACTCACATACACTTCTCAATCATCAAATTTCACCATACTATGTAATTACTCCAATACTATTCCTAAACCCGCTCGCCTACTGAATCTCCTGAGTCTCCTAAGTCTCCTGGGTCTCCTACTTCTGCTTGGCCTGCTTCATAGCAAGGTACTCTTCCAGCGAGTACTCCACTCCTTTTTCGTGGCTCCAACTAGGAAGGAGGTCGCGCACTTTGAGCGTCTTAACAGCTGCCTCTATGTCCGCCTCGGTGTAGGTGGTTTTTCCAGTTATCTCGAGCATAATTACAGCAGCATCAAGTTCCCTTATAGTAAAAGTCTTGGTTTTCTGAGGAGCCATGTTAGTTTTGCTTCTGGTGTAGTGTGATTTTGTAGTGTTATGTTGTGATTTTGCGTGTATGGGAAAGTATTTATTGTATTTAGTGTGATGAGTGTGTTCAGTGGGGAGGTATATAGGAACTGGCTGGCTGTATTTTATATAATGAAGTGCAGATGAACAAGAGCGCTGTGAAAGGTATTTCAAAAATAAACAATGAACTGCGTTGTTGATTAACGATGTGAGTTGGATGCCTAGGCTCACACACCGCTAAACGTATACTGTATGTAAAATCCGTAATACAAAAATTATCTCCGAGAGAGGACACTGCATCTCCAGCTCGAGAACACAAGGTGTTCAGCTCCTTTCGTGATACAGTCGCTAGCGAACGGGGTAGAGGCCCGTTTACCACTTTAGCTATACCTAAAACGGTGGGTAAATGGAGACGGAAAACGGAGTAATTGAATAGGTCTTCAGTCCGCAAGCTTACCTAAACTGTTCCTGAATACGCCCGATGAGATAACTAACAAGGTCAGTTCTCCGTATGTGAAGCAGTTACAGCCAAGAGAAGCGGTACACTCGATCTTGCAGTACGATAATTCCCACCGAATCAGCATGTAATACACCGGGATAAAGCCGTCGAAGCAAGAGTCAATCTACTACATAATTTCCGCCATCTCTCTCTCTCTCTCTACAGTAAAATAAACCCTATATACTTAAGGAAAAAAAGAAAATATAGCCAATAAGGGACATAGTTTCACATTGCCTCTACCCGTTAATAGTGCGCTCTCTCTCTCTTTCTGTCTTTCTTTCTCTAGCTTATCGGAAGTCCGGGCAATGCACATAAGATTAAGTTGACGTCAGCGACGACACGCAGATAAAGTATACGTGCACACCTACTAAAAGAAGATGAGCTCTTTCCTATTATTTCTCTTTGCTAAGACGGCTTTCTCTACACATTTCGCTTAGATCTGAAGTCAAATGTAAGATAGAACAGTTTGAAAGCCCCCAAAAGACATCTTTGATAGCTTATAGCTCTTTAGCCGAAAAATGTTAAGACTTGTAGAAAAGCTCTAGCAGGAGAGGTTAAAAAGACCTATCGGATGTGGTGGGAGGATATTTTTGGTACAGAAAACTGAATTATGTACTGCGGTACATGGCCAAGGTTTTGTGCTATGGAGACGCTAAAATGATGATCAGGCTCTTCTTCGGATCATTTTGTACCTAATCAAATCCTGAGAAATACTTGGCTGCTCTTAATAATCACAGATCTATATAGTATAACTCCTACTCTCTACCCCAGCCTGTATTGTCCCCTTGCTAGTGCCTTACACACAAGACTTCTGCCATGTACCACACTACGTAGCATTTGTTACTTCGACAGGGAGACCCCGTACATTCCGTCGGATGTGACAAGACGCAATATCGTTGATCGGCAGACAAAATTGGCCCCAATGTTACAGCGTGGATTTTCAGGGGCCGTACTTTTGCCCTAGAAATTGCCAGCAAACCTGTAGTGTACGTATATCCTTCGTTCCTTTCTTTTCTTTAAAAAAAGAAGTCGGCGGCGACGGCGGCGGATAAGAGTGTGGGAAGGAGATATATACTAAAGCAAGGTGGAGAGAGATAGAGAGAAATAGGCTAACAGGGTGCTTGTTTTATAGAGTACATGTTGCTAGGAGAGAACTACTGGGTTTTAAATACGGACTAAGATGAGGATGGAGAGGGAGACTTCTAGATTGGTGTAGTTATGTAGCTACGACGAGAGAGATTAAGATGGGAGGTTCTTGGAATACGGACTTTGCTTTTATATAGCTTTACGCTGCGATGATAGAGAGTATTTTATAGTCAGATTGTGAATCTATATCTATAATAGATTGAAGTGATACTAAGCTTAGTATCAATGTTTTTTTTTCGTTAGAGTAATTAGTCTGTAAATAAGAGGGGCATAAAAGAGAAATAAAAATACATAACTAATGTACTGCATTGTTGATGAATAACGTTAAGTGGGATAATGTCGGTAATTTTGCGTAGGAGTGAAAGGTTTGGGTTTTGGTAAAAGACTAATTCAAGACATTATATGATGTCATTCGATATTGATAGTCTTATGGTTCCCGGCGTGGATATGAAATATTTTCATTGTGTTCAGTATGGATTAGTTAAGGAAGAATATAAAATGCGGAGTTTTATAAACATGAACCACGAGGTGCAGGCTTGCTATAAAAGGAACATTTCCAGAAATGAGCATGCCTGGCTGAATTGACGGCTGGTTTTTGAGACACATGTTGACGGTTGAACTGCTGTTTTCTGTTCCTAGACACTGTCTCAATATTCGTTTTTGCCGTGCGATGTTGTAGTCAGCAAATCGTGATCCAATCACACATCGGGAAATGGTACATATTGGCTTTCACAATGAGTGATCATATCCTCTGGCGACCCATTTCATTTAGCTTAATTTCTCTTGTTTGTTGATGTGACGACCGTGTGTTTTGTTCAGGAAACTCACACATTCTCAGTATCTTGCACATATCTCAGCTATTCAAATTTCATCGCTGTCGTCCCCCTCTTCAGCCCCCTCATCCTCCCAGTTTTGATCTACCCACCCCCTCAACTTGCCTTTTCTAGCCTTCTCTTTTCTGATCGCATTCTTCGGGTACTGATTAGGCCAACCATCGTCCCTCCACTCCTGCAGTCTGGTAGCTGCGCGATGCCCAAACTTGTCGTTGCGGAACTCAATGCGCGGCATGGCGTACAGCGGCTCAATCGGCGCAAGCAGCATCTTTGTAAAAACGTCATTTCTAGGGCCAGCTTTTGAGATGCCCAGCACAGTCTTTATTTTCAACTTTGCCTCGGCGTAGATTTGCCGGTGGTTTTCGGGAGTAATCTTACTCAGAGCTTCGGCGTAGATGTCGAGGACAGCACCTCGGTCGCGAGGACAACAGATCCTGCTGTTGAGATCACTGGGTACTGATTTTGTGAAGCGGAAACGCTCTCTACGGAGCTTGCTGATTGTCTGTTCTAGAGATACTTGCCGTTCTTGATGTATCTCTGGCGAAGTGGGGAGGCCGCCTACATCGTTTCCGAATTGGAAGTCGGACCACGTCAGTCCAGTTTGTCTTGGGGGCGGAAGTAATGGCGGAGTTGATTGAGCAAGTTTGAGGTGCGTCATGATTCCAGGTTAGTTTGTTGTGTTGAGGGAGGGTGCAGCCAGTTGAGTGAATGACCTTGAAAGATATTAATATAGGGCGGTGTAGCAACCACTGTTCACTTTGTGTAACGTCACTTACACCCAAACAAGCGCGTGAGGCGCCAATGCTTGCCCAGGCGCAACTTTTAGTCAGCGGAGAGTTGGTACCGATAACGAAGCGGGAAAGAGCGTTAGTGCAGCCTAGATATACATTTCTCACAGTGACCAAGCGACATCACTGTACACTCTACAATGGAGTTGAAGTTTTTTCAACCTGTCTCATTGTCAATGTATAAGTATTTGAACATTTGAGAATTAAATCAGTGTGCTCGTCGCAGTGAGGTGTATGGAAGAAGTGAGAGGAAGCTTCTGATGTTATGCCGGGCCAAGTCAATATTGATGAAATCACAAAGAACATGCGCTTTGGTTGAAGGCTCTATCACTGCCTTCGTCTTTCTAGTGTGTTCCTGAATACCGTTGAGAAACGTAACTTTCGGTGAACCCAGAAAGTACCTCCATGACCATCAATCATCCCTTTTCCTTCGCGACACCAACGATATCATTCCTGCACGTCTTCCACAGCAGACGTCGACTCGCCAAGCCCAGTGTGTTCTACTTCCAAGGTGTCGGCTGACGCAGTTGCTTTAGCCATTTTTAGGTCGAGCCCATGAAACTCAAACTCTCCACGTTCCTTCAACTCTTTGGCAAGTGCAGCCTCGAGGCGATGATAAAGTGAAGGTTTACCCTTTGCGATATCGGCTGCCCATTTCTTCATCATAGCTCCTGGCATCCTATCCGGGTGGCCCTGTGTATCGAGTTAGGATCGCCTGTTTTTGTCTAGCTGAACGTGTTTCTCACTTTGACGACAATAGGTTCGCCGCGTCCCACTGCTGCAACACGCTTCTGCATGACCTCGTGGAATTGACCGAAGAAGTATGAGGCGGCAGAGTTGATATCCACCCCCTCATCCGCAATGATACGCATATCTTCTTGGATTTTCAACATATCTTGACGGAGGCCACAGAACAGCAAGATCCAGTCGTAGCGGTCTTCGTCTGTGGTTTCTCCTATGTAATATCTGTTAGTACGACGGCGGTACACAATGTATGCGAAGACGGCAAATTTTGGATACCATATTCGACAAAGTAAATGGCGTCAATATCCTGCTGGTGCAAGCGGCTTGAAAAGTCGCTTCCAAGCTGCGGGTCCGGTGTTTGCATGCGAGGTTGCTCGGAGGCAACAGCGTCACTGCTCTTGTTAGTGTTTGTCGCCATGTCAGAGGCGACACGGTGAGAGGTTTGTTGAGGTGAGGTGTGTTCAAAAGAGCTTGGTGTTTTTTATGCGCTCTTCTACTACGAATTTGAACGCACGGACTCCGCCGACTCTGATAGTGAAGGAGACTGTTTGGTTTGTAGAGGGGACGCACGAACCACTTTCACTTTGATAGTGAAGGAGACTATTTGGTAGCAGGCCGCTCGCTTGGATACACCAGCCATGGTGTCCGATCACTGGTTGACAGGTGGACAGCAGATATGGGGGAATTCATGTGTGATTGGTGACCTTAAAAAAGCTACGACCAAGGGGCAGCCAAACGATACCGTATTCGCCCGCGCATGTACATTTTATTTTAGCATGTACTTAGATACACTGTAGACACTGTCCATGATTTTGTCCCTGATTTCATCCACAACAAAATCACGAAAAAAACAAAGCCGGCCATGGCGACGGCATGCCTACGTATACGAGATGGCGACTGAGACGAGCAGAAGCATAGCCAGGCCCTGACGCGTGTCGTCGTTTTGCTAAAGGCCATGCAAGCCGCCCCCGCCCGCCACAGCACATGCCCAGGGGCTCTTCCGGACGGTCCTGGTGGGGCTTAGCTTGGCGCATCCCTGACTACGACGGTTGGCGACACGCGCCTTTTTCAAACGCAACCACGGCCATTGCCATGGCCTGAAACTGTCAAACTGGCCGTTTTTTAAACCCTCTTGGTCTCCGCATCCTCGACTCGCATCTTCACACACCCTCATGCCCCGCCGCACTTGCTAGCGATTATGTCGGCCTTCCGCAAACACATGCCGCGCACCACCCGCTTACTCGTCAGCGCCTTCTTTCTCTACATCTTCGTCTGGGTCAAGGGATGGCCGCGCATCTACGACGAGGAAGAACTGCCTGCCGTCCAGCGTCCCCAGCAGCAGGGCGCCCCTGTCGGCCCTTACCAGGTTGAGCGCGACCAACTAGTCGTCTCCGTCACTACCACCGCCATCAACGTTCACTCCAAGGTCGCACCCCTCATCCTCAATACCGCCAACGAGGACCATGGCATGCTGCTGCTCTTCTCGGACCTCCAGGCCCAGATTGGCGCCTGGCCCATCTTTGACGTCGTCTGGCGCCTCACCGCCGATGTCGTCTTGCACATTGATGAGTTGAAGAGATACCGCACCCAGCTCGACTTTGCGCGGAGGAGCATTCCCTTGCAAAACCTCATAAAGGCGGATCCGGAGGAAGAGAGGAAGGACATGTTGGTCCTGGACAAGTACAAGATCCTACAGACAATCAATGCGGCCTGGGAATACCGACCCGGCCGCAGCTGGTACATTTTCGTCAACGATGAAACATACGTCAACAGGCCAAACTTGATCGAATGGCTCGGCCAACACAATCCCGACGCAAAACACTACTTTGCTAATCCACCCATACCCGCCGAGACCCTCGTCCCCGACCCATTTGCTCCCTCGGGCACCTCTTTCATCGTGTCGCGCAAGGCCATGACGGAGCTGTTGGTAGACCGCAAAGACTACATCAAGAAATGGGCAAAGCGCATCCCAGAGTATACATCGGCATACCATCTAGTCACGAGCGTGTTGCAGGAGGAGCTCAACATGTCCGCCGTTCCCGTATGGCCCGGCATTACCGGCTACGACCCCAGCACCGCGCCCTTCCATCCTTCGCTATGGTGCGAGCAAGTCATGATCATGCACCATGTCAAACCAAGCATGGGTGGAGATCTGGCTAAATTGGAGAGAGAACAGCCTGCCCACCAGCCTATGCGCTTTGCAGACCTATGGGACCGCTTCTTCACCCCGGAAGACCTAAACTCTACACGAAACAACTGGGACAATTTATCCTCGGAAGCGTCAAACGGACGCTGGAACATCCTGTTTGCAAACAACGAAGACGTCAAGGACCGCGCCAAGTCAGGCGAAGAGTCACCAGAAGCATGCAAAAAATCGTGCGAGGCCAGCACCTATTGTGTACAGTGGTCGTATTCTTCGATTCCTCAAACCAATTGGAATGACAATCCCGAAACAAAATGTCATCTCAGCAGCAGTATACGCTTTGGGTCCTATGTCAAGCCCAAAGAGGTGCCAGGAACTGACGGAAAGCAGACATTGAGTTGGAAGAGTGGATGGAAAAAGGCAAGGTTTCATAATTGGGCAAGACGACAGCGATGCAATCAACATCTCCAGTAGGCCCTTTGTAGTACTTTGTTTTGCAGCGTTTTAGCGTTTTGTATTCTTCTGCATAATTCTTCCGTTTTCTTTTCTTCCGTCTTGTTTTACTACGCAGAGCCCCTGCTCCTGAATTGCCGGAGGGAGGTTATAGAAAGGGTAGATACTTGGGTAAACTCGCATTGACTAGGCAATGTCTAGGAATTCGAGTACATGGAGGTCAAAAATAGATTCAGCCCTCCCTCTCCCAAATACTTGGTATAACGCGTGAGCACGTGTCTTCGCTTAGACCCCAGCCATCCCCAGCCGCCCTCCCGGCACGTACCAGCCTTGCAACCTGTCCTTCGCCCGTTTCTTGCTCAAGGCTTGATTGTTTGCAGTCTTATCGGCCCGCTGCCTCTGCCTTGGGGCCCTGTATCCCGTGAATTGCATGCGCCGTGGAGAGAGGGGCTGGACCGTGTACGTGGCTCAGACCATACCTACGCGCAGACCCGCTTCGTGGTCCGTCAACACCAACAACTTTGCGCTCATTGCTTCTATTTACCAACATCACCGCAATCACGATAAAAGCCGCTGAAAACAAATGAAAATGTTCATTTGATAAAACTCAGCCATCTTTCCAAGGCCTACAATGTCACTCAACGACCTTCGGAAAGGCATAGCCTCTTATGGCGCCGGACCGCAGCTGGATGCTCTGCCATCGGCAGATAGTATGAACTGGGTCCCGCAACCAGGCGCAAATCCTGCGTTTTCTCTTTTAGTTGGCAGTCTTGATGGACAACAAATACTCGCCTACCTGACTCGATACGGAGAAAAGCCGCGAGAAGTGCGCTATTGTACCAGGCCTCTTCCTGACGGGCCCTCAAACAAATCTTCATCGTCAATGTCGACAGTAACTCAAGACGAAGTCATAAAGGCATCCCTTCTTACGCCATTCAAGTACCTTGCAGAAAATTCTAAGCCCATGAAGCGCAAGTTTAGCATGCTTATCCGGTGGTACTTTCTAATACAGGGACTTATTGATGGCCTCGAGGGCGACCAAGGAGACTTTTGCAAAAGATTCAGCTCTGCAGTCAAGAGAATTGATGAAGAGAAACATGACGAGGAAGATGGTACTCAGAATCGCACCAGGCGGAACCGCGAAGCCATAGAAGAAAGCCCGGAGCCCGAGGACGCAGATAGTACCTACACCTTGCGCTCCAGCAGCCGTACTGGTAAGACGCACGTGATAAATGGCGAGAAACCTGAGCCACAAAGTCCTTCAGTCAGATCATCACGGGACTTGAGGAATAGCAAAGGCAATCACGACCTTGAGCGTTTACTGGAGTACTTGAATAACCATAACGCATTGTATCTTCTGGACAACCTACCTGAAGTATCGGAGGTTCAATTCGTTGGACAAACATCTATACCTGAAGCTCAACCGATGAAGCTTTTCGTTGGACGCGAAGCGAAATCCGGCGATGATATATACGCCTACATGGTCAGCCTACCGCGTGGCTTCCACGAAGTTCGATTCTACGTCCAGACCGCGCACGACGAGGAACCCATGAAAACCGAAACAGTCGCCAAACAGCGCCTCATTCACCCATTCAGCAAATGCTACCCAAAGCAGCCCTGTGTCCTAGAACAGTCTGATAGAGCCAGACTAACCCTAATGGTAAAGTTTTACTTCATCTCCGCAGGCATCGCAACCGACTGCGTCCTCAAAGAAACGAAAAAATACCCAGAGCGCCTACGCGTCGCACTTGACTACATCGCCGACCGCATGGGTCCCGCCGCCGCCAAACCCCCCTCTCACACTAAAGACGAAGACGATGACGCCGCCACCGCCGACGCCGCCCCAGCCCCCAATAACCCTCCAAAACACCGTCTCTCAAGCGAAAGCTCCTACATCGATGAAAGCGACATCCAATCCACCCTCGCCCTCGAACCCCCGCGCCTCCCCCACTCCCACAACCGCACCCCCAAACCCCCAGTCTTCGCCCGCAAATCCACCTACTCCATCGCTCCCCGCCAGGGCACTTCCCAACCACCCAGCCGCACCACCTCCCCCTCCACCTTCCTCCCCCCCACAACAGACGCCACCACAACCGACACCTCTTCCCCGGCCATCCAACCCCTCCGCGGCAACCCCAAGCGCTCAGCCGAAGACGCAGAGTTCGAAGACCTCGCCCGCATCGTTATGAAGGAGCAGACACTCACCCGCGAGATCCATGCTCTCCAGCATGAAATGGATGTGCTGGAGGAGAGAAAGACTATTTGGATGGAGAAGTGGCAGGCGCAGTTTCAGAGTGTGAATGAGAAGTTGGAGGCCGTGACGAGGGAGAGGGTTGGGGTTAGGATGCAGTTTAAGAAGCAGAGGTTGGGGGGTGGAGGGGAGGAGTAGCGTAGCGTCAGGTAGGGTAATGTTTTTTTGGGGGTTGGCGAGGGGATAAGGGATGTGGTTGGTATTATTTTATTCCTGGTTGATTTTTTTTGTCACGTTAGCTAATACCAGTTTTTTATTGCTTGTCTGCTGTTTTGATACAGCCGTTTTTTTTGGTTTTTATGATCTTGTTGTATTCGTAGTGTTTTATATCCTCGTACTTGATCGTTTTGTCGTTTATTCTATTATATTTTTCAATGGAGAAATCTAATTAACCTGCTCGTATTTGATCCATTGGGGACATGTGGGTATATGTCGGCGAACAATAACGGGTAGAAAATGGCAAAATAACGTAACGCATGTTTACAATGCATGAGCGCGTTTCAATTTCCCTCTCCACAACACACCAGATGAGGTGACAAAGCAACACATGGGTAAAAGAGAAGAAGGGTATATAAATGTAACTACCAAAGACGATGTACTCGCGCCCAATACGCCGTTTGAAAATAAAATAAAAGAATTCCCTCCATATCATCTCAACCCACATTTCAAACCACCTTCATAAACAAATAACGAGCCTTATCACCAGCACTCCCTCTACGACTCTGCCTCAGCCATAATCTGCTCACCTTCATCCAACATCTCCACAACCTTCTTCAATCCACCCACCATATCATTCGCCTGGCCCACAAGCAGCAGTTTCTCAGCATTGGCCGGGAGACCCAAGTACGTCGGCGGCTCGCGCTCAGGTAGGTCGTTGACCCAGCCCATAAAGTCTTTCCAGCTAGTCGAGCTAGGCAGCTCAAGACCCTCACTGTGCTCCGTCTCCTTGACAATCTTGAAGTTGTCTTCAAACGCCGCGGGAGTCATACACGAGTCGACAAGAGATGAGAGGATGTGCCAATCCTCCGTGTTGTCGATCTTGCCACCGTACATTTCCGTGATGAGATAGCGTAGCATCTCCCATGGGATCTTGGTTGGTGCAATGTTGGAGCGACCTTGGGCAACGGTGTCGATCCATGTGTCGATGATGAAGCTGCAGCATTCGTACTGGATATGGTTAGTATATACATGATAGAAAAATATACAAGGGTACTTACGTCGCTATCGTTGAACTCCCAGAAGCCCTTCCATCCCAATGTAGGCGCATACCGTAGACGTTCTTGTATGACTGCATGCAAGAAAGACAATAGGAGATAGACACGGGCCTTCTCCACAGGTGGCTTGATTGCCTTCTCCGCCAAGGATGACAAGGAGTCCTTCATATTGGCGCGCACACCGGCAGGCTGCTCGTATGACAGAACACGCGATGCACGAAGCAAGTTGACAGGAATCTTCGGACTAGACTCCATGGAAAGGAACAGGCGGAAGTCAGGGTTGGGCTTGAGTGCCTCAAGGCGCTTCTCGAGTGACTGCAGCCACTGAGGTGTGAGATGGACGTTCTTGACAAGTACCCAATTGCCAGTAGTGGCAGCGTTAGCGATAGCCTTGTCTGCTGCCGCAGCACCTTCGTTGGAACCCATGGCAATGTTGGAACAGCTGACTTGCTCTCTTTCGACAAGGTTGTCGACCTTGTAACTGGCGTCGAAGCCAGGGCTGGAGCTGAGAGCAACTGGGGTGACGGCGTTGACTTGCTTGACAATGTCACCCAAGTCACCACTTGCATCCAGAATACCCTTGCCAAAGACCTCGGTAACAAATCGTTCCACGGCAGGAACAAAGCGGTCAACACGGAACAGCTTGACGAGGATGAGAGCTCGCAGAAGCTGGTCGAACTTGGTAAGATCTTCGGGCCAAGCCTGCGGCACATGTCGCTCTCCCATCTCTTCGTTGAGGAATGCATCCCAGGCGCTCTCGTCAATCTTCTCGAGGACATCTTTGAAAATCGGAATCTTGCTTGCACGCTCCATGGCTTCTGCTTTGCGGTCCATTTCGGTCGACACATCGATGCCCTTGAGATCAGGGTCGAGAATCTGGTCAATGTGTGTCTTATCCATCTTGTAGGGTGCTGCTTGTACAAGTAGCATGGCGAACGTAACGCGGTCCTTCTGGAGCAAGGACAGCGAGGTACGGCGGTAAGCGTCGACAAAGAGCTCAGTAACAATCTGCTCAATGCGGGCGGCATGTCCAGTGATGGAAGAGTTGCGAATCTTGCGCAACACTGTCTCGAAGATCTGCGTAAAGTACTGAAGCGAGAACTGGTAAAAGTGATTAAGGTGGTGAAGTTGCTCCAGCACAGCAAAGATCGCCGAGCAAGAACGAGCAACAACAGTGTACTCCTTTGTGATATTCTCGACCTCAGTCATAACGCCGGCGGTCTCGGAGACCTTCTCGGAGATTTCCTTGGCTTCCTTCTTGAGCGTCTCGAGAGTTTCGATGACGCGGTCGTCGTCGAGAATGTTACCGCGCGACTCATTGAGAGCCTGTAACAATCGCTTCTCGAGTTGACGAAGGTGGACTGCAAACTCTCCCTGCATCTTGATGAGATTAGAGCGTCGCTCATCAACATCAGGCCTCTCAGACTTGAGAACCTCATTGAGTGTTTGAGTTTGCAAGCTGCTCTGCGTGACTGTAAAGTTTACAAAGGTAGTACGACTGCAAATATCGGGGGCAAAGTTGGCAGAAGGATCGCGAGTAGACAAGTACAAGCGGAAAGACGGCGAAAAGTCAATCTCTTGCTTGCCAAGCTGAATGAGGACACGACCTCCGGTCTTCTGGTACTCCTTGTTGAGAACATGATTGAGGATAGGGTCCAGGTGTTCGGCATCTTGAATCAAGATCGGGTTACCGAAACGCAGCGAACTCTCGAGCTGCTTGGTGAACGAATCATCCAAGAAGCTGGTGACCGTGAGGCGGCGTTCCTTGCATTCATTCTGCAAGAACTCGGTAGTCCTACCAGACGGATCGATGATGAGCGGGTAACGGTTGAAACGCTGCAGAACGATAGCGTTCTCAGTACAAAGGTCGTCGACAGGCAGGCCGTTGTGTTGCCAATTGAGTCGATCGTCAGCTGTGGATAGGTATTCCGTAAATGGATTTGTTGGCTTGAAGCTGATACCAGACTGCTTCAGATGATCATACCAGTCCTCGGTAAGTGCCTTTCGGTATTGCTGGTCGTAGTAACCAGCATATGCAATGAAAGCCGCGGCAACCAAAACGTCACCGACAATGGTGTCGATCTGAGAATCGAACGACTTGCTGCTCTCCTCCCATCGAGTACGTTCAGAAGACAAGCTGTCAAGAAGTCGTACACTGCGGTCAACTTTGAACTGGACAGTCGACATTTCGGTCTTGATGGCTTGTGTTTCGCTAATCAAGGCTGCGTACTCGGTCTTGTAACGTCCGATACTCTCCTCAAGATTCTGGATAAGGATCTGGGTTTCTTTGGCACCCTCTTCCGTCTTCTGCAACTCAACTTGCAAGTTGTCGACCTCAGCACGTAGGGGTCCAACGCGATCGAGAATGTCGGAGTAGGTGACTTGCGCGGATACCCATTGAACGAGGGGACCGCAAGCCTTGGAAGCGCGGTTGACCTTCTCGAACGTGAACTCCTCCTTGGAAAGGTACTCGTTCTGCATCTTCCTGCGGTGTGCAGCGGTCATCTGTCTCTCGTTGTCGAATGTCACGATACTGGCGATAAAGTCGTCGCGCCTGACGATGGAAACAATGGTCTTCCAGCTGTCAGGCTTGTGGCCAAGAATTGTGCACACGGCTTCAAGCGCAAGCTTGACACCGGCGGGAGGGTTCTGCATGGATCTGACTTCGGTAAGATGCTGGCGCTTAATGTTCTGCACACTCTTCTGTGCCTCAATGACAGCGGGTTCAGCTGCTGCCAAATCATTATTGACCACCTCTTGTCGCTTTTGAATCTCTTCCTTGTCCTTGGCAAGTCTAGCTTGCATCTTGATCGATCCTGCCTTCTTCTGCTCTGCTTCATTTTGGTCAGCAATCATGCGCTGTAGCTTCTCGTTTGCTTCAGCGTCCTTCTTGGTCAACTGTGTCTGTTTCTCTGCAAGGCTAGCTCGGAGTTCCTTGACCTTGTCGAATGTCTCGCGAAGTTTCTCTAGACCGACGTTAAGATGGCGTTGCTGTTCTTCCAGGTCTTCGCGCTTCTCGTTGTATAGCTTGACGTATTGTGCCACAAAGTCTAAGAAGTGTCGTGGTGTGAGATACATCTTGCGGTTTTGCGTCTTCTGTAACTTCGCGTTTTTGCTTCGGAGCGAATGGTGTACAGCGACCATGGCATTAACCACGCTCTCCCTGTGAGATGGTGGTAGAGTAAGTCCGCGGTAGGCAACAGGGATACTATCAGGTGCGATGTAGTTTGTGCGATCCAAGTCAACAGACTGTGTGAGTTCGGAGCCGACCTGGTAAAGTGCTTGATCGGACCAGTCTCCGAACCAGTTGAGCACGCAACGGTTGAAAAGTGCAGGACTCGTTGCGGCCTTTGAAGACAGACCTCCCTCTGGAGGGTTCATGGTGAAAACAACGTGGAGGTTCTTGACAATCTGCTCCGTGAACCACTTGTACAATTCGTCCTGAGAGTCGAGAATAATACCCTGGCGCTGGGCACCTTCCTTGATAGCGGTAAGCAAAGAGGCGTACTCATCACCCTCAAACAAACCAGGAACCTCTGCGTTGGCAAGAAGTGTGTTCATGCGTTCGAGGAAACCAGAGTCAAGGACGTTAGCTTCGTCCATGATGAAGCAAATCTTCTCACCCTTGCAACCGCAGCGCCTGAGCACAGTACGCAAGTCTTCATCGAAATCTTCGCCTGAGTACTTGCCGTGAACCTTGATCTGGTAGACACTCAAACCGTTCATCCAGGCGACGAAACGCGATAGAGTGGTCTTACCAGATCCACTAACACCGATGAGAATAAGATGACCCTGTGGTTGACGGAAGACACGATCGATGCGAAGTACGTGCTCAAGCACATCGTTGAACAGAATGAGAGGAACGTCGACTTCTTCCTCGCAGAAAGTACGTAGTCGAGCCTTGACGAACTCGCGGAGTTGTTCACGCTCAACTGGCACGTAGTTCTTAGAAAGCCAGTTGGAGAACAGAATGGGGCCTCCGAGAGCCTTCTCCTCATCGATCGTGGGGAAGTGCTCCGTAGCAACGCGGTGGACACACTCTTCGGTCCATTTTCTCTCCTCTTCT